GGGGGCGAAATTTGGGCCGATCGAGACAACAATGTCCTAGGGGGTCCGGGGCCATGCCCCGCGAAATTGTTGTGTTCTAGACGTCCGAAAATAACATTTGAGGCGTTGTGCGCTATCATTTTTTTCTTTTTCTTTCCTTTTTTCCCCCTTTTTTTTACCTCCCAAAAAAGGGGGGGGGGCCGGGCCGGCTCCCCCCGCCCCCCTAAATCCGCCCCTGCTATAGAAGATTTTTCTTGTTCCCTACTCCAGACATGGCCTTGGTGTTCCTTGAGCCTAGTGCGGAGATCTCGTCCTGTTCCACCAATGTAAACCTTCCCACATTCGCACGGGATCCGATAAACTCCTGTTGTCTATGTGCTGGTGGTTTGTCCTTGTGTGTTTGTAGAGTTCGGGATAGTTTGTTGGATGCGCTATGAAACACTTTGACATCGGCTTGTAATATAATGCGTTGAATGCGGTGTGAAAGCTGTCCCAAATATGGTAAACACACAGACTTTCTCGATTCTATATTATCTAGCCTATTGGGGTTTGGGTTGGGTCTGGGTGTAGCAATGTCTCTCGTGTGATAACCATTAAGCTTAAGGGCTGCCTTAACATGTTGCACTTCTTTCCGGATGGAGTTGTGGTCGCTGATGCAATGTGCTCTTCTGACGAGTGTGTTACAAACTCCCTTCTTGGTGGACGGATGGCGAAACGAGCGTTTGTTTAGATATCTGTCGGTGTGTGTTGGTTTGCGATAGACTGGTTACCAAAACATCAAGAAAGGGTAAAGAGCAATTGTGTTCCTCCTCCATGGTAAACATGATCGATTTGTGCTGAGAATTCAGGTGATCTAGAAAACCACCTAGGTACACCTTACTGTGTTGCCAAATGATGAAAATATCATCGATGTATCGGAGCCAGAGTTTTAGTTGTTTGGTAGCTGAAAGAAGCGCTAGTTGTTCAAACTCTTCGAGGAAGGTGCTGGCAATGACTGTGGATAAAGGCGATCCCATGGCCGTGCCCTCTGTTTGTACGAAAATTAGTGCAGAATAAACACTGTAAAAGTAAATCGTAAAAACTGTTGAGGGTTCAGATCTGTTCTTTACTGGAAAGTGTGGTCCTCTTCTAGACGGTATTTGGCTATAAGACAAGCCTCCTGGACAGATACATTGGTGAATAGTGATTTGATGTCGAACCTCACAAGAGTGTCTGTAGATTCGAGGTAAACATCCCGGATGGTCTTCACAAAGTGTTGAGAGTTAGTTACATGGTGACCAGTGTTTCCTACCAGTGGAAACAGTATCCTGGCAAGATACTTGGCGAGAAGGTAACAATGTCATTGTTAAAACTGATCAATATGTATTGTCCTCACACTGAGGAAGAACACAGGCGTGTTTGAAATATTTGTGATTAACTAAATTATATTGCTTCATATTTTTGTCTAAAACTCAAAGTTGTATTTTATTGCTGTCTTTTTACATTATATATATACTGTCTCTTATACACATCTAGATGTGTATAAGAGACAGCCATTGGTGTCAAGTTTAGTGCTTGTGGATAAAGGGAATAAACTTAGAATATGTCTTGATCCCAAGGATCTTAACAAAGCCATACAACGGAGTCATTATCCAATGCCGACTATTGATGATATTTTACCAGACATGCACAAAGCACAAATTTTCAGTGTGTTGGATGCGAAAAATGGATTTTGGCACGTACGTCTAGATGATGAAAGCTCTTTCTTAACGACATTTAATAC